GGCGCCGGTGGTGGTGGTGGTCGCGGTGGTCGTGCGCGAAGCTCGTCGTCGGGTGGTGGTGCGAGTGACGGGCACTGCCAGTGCCAGATCCAGACCGGTCCTCGCCGCAGCCTCGTGTTAGGACCGGTCCATTCGCTGTTTCAGTCGCCAGGACAACCTGTGTCGTCTCCGCTTCGGCCCCGCGCCAGACCTCCCCAACTGGCACAGTCTACTCCACCGTGGTGTTAGGATTTTTTATATGGACATAGATGAGATTAGCTCTGCATTATATGTGTTGTATGTCGATGACTCTAGTGTGACTGGTTCCTATTACCCCGTGTTGCCTAGTGTAGGTGTGCCCAGTGTGCCTAGTTTATGCTCCCCTGCTACGTCAGGAGTAAGACCCTTTGCTTTGTTTAGCCTTGGCTCCACCCTAGCTCCTCCGCCCCCAGCCGCCACTGCTATGCTCTCCTTCACTCCCACAACTTTCGGTCCCTTCCTAAACCCTCTCGCCTACTTTCATGGCCGCCTAGCTTTTCTAGTTCTAACATGGTACCATAGCAGGTTGCCCCTTACGAGGGATACAAGGAGGGGGTTGTACCATCTACAGTAGGTTTCAGTAACACCTACCAAGCCTACAATTATATATAACCGATATAATTTATCAAAGACCACCAAGTCCGTCATTCGGCGGGGTGAGGGGAAGGGTAGAGGGCGATGAGGGCGAGGTGTGATTGAAGAAAATTGAGTTGAAGTTTAAGCAAGCGCTTGTCAGGGGAGGTGTAGCGGCCAGTGATCGATAAGCGTTTGTTGAGAATTAACACAGTAATGCCGACAGGCCGTACTCGGGAGCCAGAGACAGTGGGTGGGCTTTGGGCATATGCTTTGGGTTTAAATTTATAAATGAGGGACAAAAAAGTAATGGTGAGGCACGTATTAATGAGGATGGGGATATTTGGGGGGAGGTAAGCCAAGCTTTTAGGTGATCCATATTAACAGTTGTGCTAAACCCTGGTCAATCGCCCTATATATTCCCTATGCCTCATTTCTATCAACAACATCGTAATCATGTTCCCCTTATTGAATACTGCGCTATTCTCAGAGTTATAATTCATAACACATAGGTTTGTCTTCTCAAACCACCCAAACTGTAACACATGTGTTACCCCTATCTCTCCAACGAAGAGGGTGTCCGAAGTAGCACAGATGGGACGTCACAGATGCTGAAAGAGGGTTACCACCAATGTAAACGCTACAGTTCCAATTTCCGGGATGGCCGAAGTAGGCTCCCGAAACCCAGCAGTCGAACTTGACGTCACACTGTGTTGTTTCAACAAATTTTCGGGCAGCCCAGACATTTTGCCACAGAACCCGCAGGTCACCTACTGAACCAGCGAAAATAAGTTCGCGAATTTCCTGCTGGTCGTTTGGAGGGGATAGGACGAAATGTTTGTGTCGTGGTAACTTTCAGTATGCTGATGGTTCCCATTGTTTTCGCTTGCCCGTTCGGAAAACTCTCTACCGTATTTCATTTTGGGCAGACTTGTGCGAGTGAGCATGTCCGAAGTTGGGATTTGCGTCAGGTTTGACGTCCACATTTGACATCGAGCTTTGCGGGTAAGTTGACGCCTAAGCTTAGCTGGCGTCAACTCTCTTCTTCGGACTCCCTCTAATCTGGAAACTCGTGTCTGGCATAGGGTCCACTCCACGCGAGTTGCAGTGGAGTAAATCCGTAGAGGCATTCGTGACAGCACGGGCATAATGAATCTGTAAGATCTGGTCGCGTCAGCACCCCTCTCTCGTCATCGCCACCGCTCGTCGCTCCCTTCCCCTCGCTTGCTACTTTCAATTTTCAGGGATAGTACCCGCCCTCGATCAGTCGTCGTCATCTCCTTTTCGCGAAAGCGGACGGAAATTTGGAGTCCTGGAGGGAAGGAAGCGTAGCGACACTTTAAGTTCAGGTCGTAAAAACGGTCAGTACGATTCGAACGATGAGCTCCGCAACGCGGCCGCGATGCTTCCTGGACGTTGCGTTCGACGGGGCGCTCGTCGGCAGAATCGAGGTGGAGCTGCGGCCTGACGTGGCGCCGAAGACGGTGGAGAATTTCGTCGGCTTGTGCAAGGGCACGAGCTCGGGGTTGGGCTATAAGGGCCTCACGCTGCACCGCATCATCCCCGGATTCATGGCGCAGGTAGGTGTGGAATCGTAGGAGGTGGGAAGAACTTTTGACTCAAAAGTTTTGAGTCGTTGCGTTCTTCCCACCTCCTACTCAAAAGTCAGCTCGTAGCAGTGCGAAGAACAGCAGCATGAGGGAGGTGTGGAGTTGCTTTTGAGTCGACTCAATAGCGCAGTATGCGGGGAGGTGCCGAAACGCACATAAGGGCCTCTCGCTGCGCCGCATTATCCGCGGATTCATGGCGCAGGTAGGGTTGGAACGCAGCATGGCGGCATGAGAGAGGTGTCAAGGCTCGTCGAAACGCAGGTAGGCGTCGAAGCGCAGGTAGGCGTCGAATAAGGCCCAAGTGTTGACGCGCAGTCGCCGCCTTATCCAGATAACGGCGCAGGAGGTACGTGTGAATCGTGGCATGAGGGGGGTGTCGAACCGTGCGTGAGGGCCTCACGCTGCGCCGCGCCATCCGCGAATTCATGGCGCAGGCCGGCGTGGAACGTGGCATGCGGGAGGTGTGGGACGTGGCCTGGGGTAGGTGCCGAACGAAGCGTGAGGTAGGGTAGGTTTGGAACTTACGTCCCGTCAAGTTAGCATGAGTGTTGACGTCTCATTCGCGGATTCATGGCGCAGGCAAGTGGCGAAACGTGGCATGCAGGAGGTGGCGAAGCGTCGACGCAAAGGTAGGCGGTGAACGTGGCACGAGCTAGGCGTCGAAACTTACGTGAGAATTCGTCAGAAGCGCGGATGACGTCCCATCCATCCCATCACAGTGAAAGTTTTTTTAGACTTCTCATAAAGCCTCTCGCAAGAGTTGTTGACTGGCAGATGACATCCCCTACATCCCATCGCAGTTAATAATCGATGCAGACCACGCGAGCCCCATCTGGAGCAGAAGAAACTCTAGAAATTCGTTTCCCAGTCGCCCTCCGTCTAGAACGCCCTGTTCGTCCGTCCTCTTCCTCTACCTCGCTTCCCTCCCCGCTCACCATGCTCTCAGCTCCCCCTGTCGAATGTTTCAACGTCTGGTTTATTTTTTAGGCGCCTCAAAAGTAGTCTCGCCATGTTCTATGCTCCCCCTATTGGATGTTTCATTGCCTGGTGGTGCTCGTGACATCTTTCACGTGGCAGGGTGGTAACTGCGGGAGCTCCATTTTCGGGCAGCCCTTTCCCGACGAGAGCTTTGAGCTGAGGCACAGTGGCAGAGGCATTCTCTCCATGGCGAACCGGGGGCCTGACACGAATAGTGAGTGTAACAACTACACGTATGCCACAGCACGAGTGGCCCCTGATGCACTTTTCTTATTGGGAACTTTGAGCTGAGGCACAGCGGCAGGGGCATTCTCTCCAGGGTTAGCCAGGGGCCTGACACTAATAGTGAGTGTAAAAACTTGTTATGAGTGGACGCAGAAGAGCATGTTTTTTATATTATGGATAGGCCACAGCACAGTGGCAGCGGTATTTTCTCCATGGCGAACCGGGGGCCTGACACTAATAGTGAGTGTAACAAGTATGCATATGCCACAGCACACGTGTGCCCATTTTGCCCTTTTCTGATGAGAAAAGAGAGCTGACGCACAGCGACAGAGGCGTTCTCTCTGCGGCGAACCGGGGACCCGACACTAATAGTGAGTATGGGGATAAGAATCGTACAATAGAATGGGGAATCGGGATAGTAGTTTTCCACCTGCTTTATTTCAAAACCCCTCTTCACACTCTCCTTTGTCACACCTGCCTCATTTCTCTCATTCCTTGCATTGCTTTGCAGTTTCCTTTCACACAACTTTCCTGCTTGCACTCTCTCTTGTGTCACCCTCATTTGCATCACACTCCCCCCCCCTCCCCCCCAAATCAACCCACAGGCTTCCAGTTCATCTGCTTCACTGTTTCCGATCCAATTAACCTCTTTCGTCACCCTCACTTGTGTCACCCTCCATTGTGTCACCCTCCATTGTGTCACCTACCCACCCATCTCACCCTTCCCGCCTCCCCCCTTTCCGCCACCCCACAGACTGCCAGTTCTTCATCTGCTTCAATGCTACACCTCATTTGGACGGCAAGCATGTTGTTCGAGTCGACTCAAATGTCCCCCCTCCCGTGCCCCCCCTCCTTCCCCCCCCCCTCTTCCCCCCCCCCCCCCAATCACCCCCCAGACTGCCAGTTCTTCATCTGCTTCAACGCCACACCTCATTTGGATGGCAAGCATGTTGTCTTTGGCAAGGTGGTGGCAGGTGAGCCGTTGCTTTGTGATGGGTAGCTGTGGTGGCTATCTTACGCATTGTTCATCGCTGCCCTTCGCCTTCGACGAGCTTGAGTCAGTTGGTCGGCACCGATAGTGGTAAAGCGTTTGCTTGCGCACGTTTTCAATCACAATGATTTAATGTTTTTGTTTTCTTTCCCTTCCCATCAGGAATGGATGTGGTTGACAAGCTCGAGTCAGTTGGTAGCGACAGCGGGAAAACGTCAGTGGAAGTCACCATCCAGGATTGCGGCCAGCTCTCGTAGACTGGGAAAGTTCACACCGTCTCCCCTAAGGATTTATAACCACCGGTGTTTATTCTGTAAGAAATACACTATACGGTAGTTGGGCTACAACAACCCCTCTCTTTCTAGATAAACCGTAAGCAAAATAGCTTGAATTGAAACTCTACAATGCAAACTGTACATTGCCGCAAAGAGGTAGACTGTAAATTTGAAACGGTAATGTAGGGTGTAGCAGTGTGCCAGTCTTGCTACAGTAACAGGGGCATTTCAACCATTGTACAGTAAATCGACCAAGTGAAACGGGAGGCCCGCACTGGCTGTTCCTCCTTCCACTCAAATACTGTACTGTATAAGAACTCCCGTCAATACCTCCTCAGACTCTCTGGAGCTGCTACCGTCGGACGTATACTGTACTGGCATCTAGGCCCTTAGCTCGGATCAACTCCGGTTCAAGCGGGCGGAACTTCTCAAGTCCCTTCATGTGTAGCTTCCTCCTGTTTTCGGGAACTACCTAGTACCTAAATCCCGCCGTCGTTTTTTTCGGGAATCGTGTATTCCCGCTTGTTCTCTGATTTCCGAAGCATTTTGGAATAGCTTCCTCCTTTATGCCTTTGGTCGTGGTCGCTATTTTCCTCGAGCTCCTTTCCTTCAACGGCGACGGGTACAGCAGCAAGCGTTCATGCCAACGGTTAGCGTCGTTGTTTCGCTTGGACGATCACTAATCTCTATAGATCCGCCGGCTTGTTGAGCTTAAGATCTCAACGGTTAACGAGCTTGCTGCTTTCCGTTGTTAACGGGTATTTAACCGCCTGATCACTGTCGGCGTGATCACTGCCTGTTTTCCTTTCAACTTATCGAAACCCCGGTCGTGTGTCTGGGTCAATATTATTCGGTCGCGCTATTCACGGAGCGACAGCCATTATTCCTTGGCAGCAAGAGCTTTAGCAGAAGTAGTTTATTGTAGGCACTATCAACAGCAGCAGCAGCATCAGCATCAACCGCAGCAGCAGCAATAGCAGCGGCAACGCCAGTCCTCCACGATGGGGGACGCAGCCGGTTTAAAGACCTTCACCGCCGAAGAGCTCGACGAAGCCACGAATAGCTACTCGCGGGAAAACTCGCTCGGCCGCGGCGGGTTCGGCACGGGGTACCGCGGGAAGCTCGCGGACGGGTCCTCGGTGCTTGTAATGAAGCTGAACCCCGATAACACCCGCCAGGCCGCGGAGAAATTCACGCGCGAAGTGACCATCCTCACGCGCGCGGACCACCCGCACATCGTCAAGCTCCTCGGGTACAATCCCGAGGCACGCTGTATCGTGTACGAGTCCCTCCCGGCGGGGACCCTCGAGGACCGTCTGCTGACGGAATCCGGACGGAAAACGTTAAAGCAGAAGGACCGGCTGAGAATCGCTGCAGAGGCGTCCGAAGCCCTGCTCTTCCTCCACCAACTGGACCCCCCGATCCTCCACCAAGACGTGAAGCCCGGAAACGTGATGCTGAATGAGGACCTGTCTTGCAAGGTCGGGGGAGTGGGCCTGGCGAAGTTCCTCCCCGCGAACGACTCGTCCATCTGGGGCACCGTGGGGTACATCGACCCGCTGCTGCTGCGCACGGGGAAGTACGGCCCCCAGTCGGACCTGTACGGGCTCGGGCTGGTGATCCTGCAGCTGCTGACCGGCGAGAAGGTGAATAAGGTGCTCGAGTTTGCGAAGTTTGGGTTGGACGGGATTCTGGACCATCTGGATAAGACGGTTCAGTGGAACCCCGAGATTGTTAAGGAGGTTGCTGACGTGGCGCTCAAGTGCAGGGACAGGATGAGCCGGCCGGATCTGGAGACGGTGGTTCTGCCCATGCTGAAGAAATACGCGGAGCAGACGAGAGGGGAGAAGGAGGCGGAGGCTGCCGCGCCTGCTGGTGGTAGTGGTGGTGCTGGTGGTGCTAAAGGTGCTGGTGGTGCTGGTGCCGGTGGGAGTAAGGGGCATGCTAAGACGCCAGCAGCCGGTGCTGCGGCTGCTGCTGCGCCACAGAAGAAGTCGTTGTTTGGGTATTTCTTTGGTAAGCGGTAAAGCGCAGGAGGCGGAAGCTGCCGCACCTGCTGGTGGTGGTGGTGGTGGTGCGTGCGGTGGAAGAAGTCGCTGTTTGGGTATTTCTTTGGTAAGCGGTAAAGAGGAGAGGCGAAGGGAAGAAGGCGGGAGCTGCCTTTCCTGCTGCGACTGCAGGCGCCACGCCACAAAGAAGTCGTTGTTTTGGTGCTTCTTTGGTTAGCGGTGAAGGGTGGCAGTGGAAGCTGCAGTGGGGGGGAGCTACAGTGGGGGAAGCTGCAGTTGGGGGAGCTGCAGTGGGGGAAGCTGCAGTGGGGAAGCTGCAGTGGGGGGAGCTGCAGTGGGGGGATGCAGGTGTGAGCAGGCGGAGGAAGCGAGCTGTTGAGGGAGAATTGGTGTGACAGCAGGGGATGCTTTTGAGTCTGACTGAAAAGCAGTGTTTGGGCAGAACCGATCGGATACAGCAGATGCAAGTGTGATCACGCGGAGGAAGCGAGCTGGTGAGGGGGAGTTGGTGTGACAGCAGGGGATGCTTTTGAGTCTGACTTAAAAGCAGTATGGGGGCAGAACCGATCGGATGCAACAGATGCAGGTGTGGGAAGGCGTAGGAAGCGAGCTGGTCAGGGGGGATTGGTGTGACAGCGGGGGGTGCTGCATAGAGCAGATTCAAATCGTGCAGCTGGAGGAATTGAGGTGGTTGGGGGGTGTTAGGGTAGGAATTGGTGCAGTAGGGGAGTCGAGATGATGCAGTGGCCTTTTCTTAGGTGTGAGGAGTCTATTTTTGAGGCGCCTTACAAATAGACGCCTCACGGTTGAGGGGTGTTAGGGTAGGACTTGGTCCAGTAGGGGAGTCGAGATAATGCAGTTTCTTTCTTTGAAGCGGCAGCAGGAAGGGGGGGGGTGTCGCAGGAGTGTCTGGGGAGAGCTGGGGATTGAAGTCTGGAAAGAGTAGGGTTTGCTGGGTTGATAGGGGGGCTGGTGGATGAACATGTGGGGACGAGAGATAGGAAGCATGAAAGGATAACCGTGGGAAGTGGAGAGTTACCCCAGTCTTGGAGAATCACTACGGGTGCTTGCAGGAGTTGGTTCAGGGGTTGGTGCAGGGGTTGGTGCAGGGGTTGGTGCAGGGGTTGGTGCAGGGGTTGGTGCAGGGGTTGGGGCAGCGGTTGGGGCAGGGGTTGTACAGTTGTGTTTGTGACGGGGCAAGGAACCAGAGAGGTAGCAGCAGCAGCAGCAGCAGCAGCAGCAGCAGCAGCAGCAGCAACAGCAGCAGCAGATGGGTTGGTAATGGGATGGGGGGCATTGCAGCTGGGCTGGACCGTCCCAGATGGATGTCATGTCACGCACGATGCTGCATTAGGTGTGTTGGCGCACAAGAGGCAGCAGCAGCAGCAGCAGGTGGATTGGTGATGGGAGAGATTGCAGCATCCCGCTCGCTGCATGGGTGAAGGCCGCTTGGGGGATGTTCACTTGATCATCATTTTGTCAACTACAGTAGCTAGGGAGGGAAGTATGGTGCCACTCCCCTATAGTACCGTTGATACCTATCACAATTGTCGGGAGCTCTAGTTTCGTTATTTGTTTGCCTTATCTGTGTTTTTCCAGATTTATCTCTTTAGGTCCTTGCTGCAGTATGGGTCCGGTTGCTGATCCGGTTGCTGATCCGATTGCTGATCCAACAGTATTCTCCCTGCTGCAGCATCCCTGTTGCTGATCCGGTTATGGGTCTGCTGTATGGCGAACACATGGGCTTTGCAGGGTACCGACCGAGTACACATCGAGCAAGCCCATCTGATTCTGCATCATGCACTCTTCGAGGTGTCAAGAGTCACGCTGGGGTTACCCTTGAGTTCCTCGGGCAAGGGCTACAGGCCTCTCTCTGCCTGGGGGGTTGTGGGCACACATACCCGCTTCTTATCGAGCCTTTTTAGCTCAGTGTTTAGTGACAGTTCTGACGATGGGAATCGGAATTCAATAACTAAGCACACATTCATAGACCCACAGCAAAAATCCCTAAATATGCGAATTTTGAGAACGTCTGTCTAAGGTTACCCATGCCCACTGTAACAACGCTACAGTGCTTCCATGAGCTGCGATGACAGTGCAAGCAGTTAATTACTTGTAACCAGCCCCACTTTCGCCAGCATAAGACCCCCCCTCGTTATAATAAGGCTGCTCCGAGCCTCCATAGGTGTTGTCCGAACCTTCGACAGTGCTAGGCTCGTTCCCAGCTGGGTATGCCACTGGAACGGCTGAAGCCTTGTACAGGCTGGTAATGGGGAAGACAATAGAGGGGATGGGATGGGATGGGGTGGGATGGGGGGGGATGGGATGGGAGGGAGTGAGTGTGAGGCACAGCGACAAGGGAAGAACTAAAAGCATGAATACATTGATTGAGTTGGTGCATTATGTGCACCGAATGTGTTGCGGGAATGTGAGTGTGTCCGAGTGTGTGTGTGTGTGTGTGTGTGTGTGTGTGTGTGTGTGTGTGTGTGTGTGTGTGTGGTGTGTGTGTGTGTGTGTGTGTGTGTGTGTGTGTGTGTGTGTGTGTGAAGCTGCAAATCCCTCAAGCACTCTCTACCTCCCCACCGCCCCTTGATTTCCCCATTCCCCCTCCCCATCCCAAACCCTCAAACCTATCCCCTTCCCTTCCCCCCCCCCCAAGCCTTACCCCTCAGCTTCGGCATCGCCGAGCCTGTCGCCGAGCCTGACGGCTCGGAAGACGTAGATGGGCATGGAGAGGGCCTGCATCATGCATGCGATGGTGATCACGAGGAAGCCGATCCACAGCATCTGGAAATCCGTCAGCATCGACTTGGCTTCGTCTATGATGAACTGGTAGGGGGGTTACAGGGAGGGGGTAACAGGAGGATGAAATCATTCGTGCTGGAAAGGGAGAATGGAGGAGGAAGCCGACCCACAGCATCTGGAAGTCCGTCAGCATCGACTGGGCTTCGGCTATGACGAACTGGTAGGTGGAAGAGTGGGGGGGAGTGGAGGGGGGGTTTTGTGAAAGGGATGGAGAACGGACGGATGATAACAGGAGGATGAAATCGTCAGCAATGTAAGAGCGGTTTGCGAGTACGAGCACGTTGGGGATGGTGGACTGTCGTTCTGAGGCGCCTCAAGACGGGCATGCATGTGCGAATGCAAGAGTGCTGTGCGAATGCAAGAGTGCACGAAAGCATGACACACTAATGCAACGAGTGCACGAGTGCGACCTCACCTTGGCAATGTCAGCAATGTAAGAGCAGTTCGCAAGCACGAGCACGTTGGAGATGGTGGATTGCAGCATTGAGGCACCTCGGAGCATGAACGTGCAAGAGTGTGTGTGTTCTCCCCTCACCTTGGCAATGTCAGCAATGTAGGAGCAGTTGGCCAGCACAAGCACATTGGGGATGGTGGATTGCAGCATTGAGGCACCTCAAGACGCACATGCACCAACGCAACAAGTGCACGAGTGCAAGAATGCACGAGTGCAACCTCACCTTTGCTATCTCGGCGATGTAAGAGCAGTTGGCCAGCACAAGCACGTTGGGGATGGTGGTTTGCAGCATCGCCAGAGTCGTCACCGTGGCAGTGAGGTCGTTCTTGACCACATCCGGCACTATGGCGCTGCTGTTGGCCGTCGTCGACAGTTTCTGAGGGGAAGAGAGGAAGAGAAGTGGAGGAGGGAAGGGGGAAGGATGCGGAAGGGGGATGGGGCCATGCGGAAGGTGGTGCTTGTGCCTCGTCAACCCACTCTCGTGCATTACCACCAACCAATCACGTACACGCCACATCGGCGCACACATGCCACATCAGCGCACACATGCGACTCACATTGATAAACTGCGTGAAGGAGATGGTACTGTCACCGCAGAGGCTGTCATCACGAGTGTAGTTAGGCGCCGGCCCGTACGGCACGCAGATGCCGCCCGGCGCACCGACGAGCTTGAAGGCCTGAAGCAGGGAAGAGCAGGGGGGCGAGGCAGCAGGGGGGAGAGGCAGCAGGGGGAAGAGGCAGCAGGGGGAAGAGGCAGCAAGGGGGAGAGGCAGCAGGGGGGAGAGGCAGCAGGGGGGAGAGGCAGCAGGGGGGCGAGGCAGCAGGGGGAAGAGGCAGCAGGGGGAAGAGGCAGCAGGGGGGAGAGGCAGCAGGGGAAGAGGCAGCAGGGGGAAGAGGCAGCAGGGGGAAGAGGCAGCAGGGGGGAGAGGCAGCAGGGGGGGAGAGGCAGCAGGGGGGAGAGGCAGCAGGGGGAGAGGCAGCAGGGGGAAGAGGCAGCAGGGGGGAGAGGCAGCAGGGGGGAGAGGCAGCAGGGGGAGAGGCAGCAGGGGGAGAGGCAGCAGGGGGAGAGGCAGCAGGGGGAGAGGCAGCAGGGGGAAGAGGCAGCAGGGGGAAGAGGCAGCAGGGGGAAGAGGCAGCAGGGGGAAGAGGCAGCAGGGGGAAAAGGCAGCAGGGGGCAGAGGCAGCAGGGGGAAGAGTCAGCAGGGGGAAGTGGCAGCAGGGGGAAGAGGCAGCAGGGGGAAGAGGCAGCAGGGGGATGAGGCAGCAGGGGGAAGAGGCAGCAGGGGGCAGAGGCAGCAGGGGGAAGGGAAGGCAAGTTGATGTGTAATCAAAGGCAGGATAGTATGATGACACACAGACGTTACCCAGCACATGCGTGCGGCACCTAAAAAATAGGCAAGTTGATGTGTCATCAAAGGCAGGATAGTACAACACACATACGTTACCCGACATGTGTGCTTGCAAGCCCTGCTGCTCGCATCATCACCTCTTGGTTGGTACCCTAGAGTCCCTACATCACCACTGCGGCTAGCCGTGCCCTGGGTGCGTTGTTTCGCTACAGTCAACGCGTCACCTTTCAGTTGATCCGTTACCCTTGGCGTGTTTGTTTGCCACTGGGCGGGGGCATTTGCCGTGGTGAGCACAGCACAGCACAGTGGAGGTGGTGCAAGCAACGCATGTTGCTGTGTTTGCAAAATGCATACTAACGCATGTGTTTCGTGCACTGCCATTGTGCTCGCTGTAGCGCCGTGCATGTGCTGCAGGAACCTCACCTCACTTACCCAGTAAACGGTCATGGGGCGTTGTTTGCCACGGGGGTATTTTTGAGTCGACTCAAAAGTCACCCCATGCATGTGCTGCAGGAACCTCACTTCCCTGGTAAACGGTCATGGGGCGTTGTTTGCCACCGGGGTATTTGCCGTGGTGAGCACAGCACAGTGGAGGTGGCGTAACGCGTGGCAGTCAAGTGATGCATGCATTCACCACTTACCCGTGGTGCATTCAACCCTCACCCTGGCCGTGTTGTTTGCCACGGGGGTATTTGCAGTGGTGGGCACAGCACAGCACAGCACAGTCAGTCGAGGTGGTGAAAGCGATGCGTTTACAATGCATGTCGATGCGTGCGTGTGTGTGCGTGTTGAGTACCGACACACGCTTCCACTGCGCTCACTGCTGCGGCACTGCGCACACACCATGCATGCGCTGTAGGAAACGCACACTCACTTACCCCGGGCACGTTGTTTGTGACAGAGGTATTTGCCGTGGTGAGCACGGTCGCGGTGGTGTGGCGCGCGTAACGCGTCGCATTCTCGATCTTGGCGCTGGGGATGCAGTGCAGGTACTTGTCCATGGCGCTCATAATGGTGGGGGACGTCTGAACTTGCTCCAGCGCCACACTCGTATCGCCGTTGACCCTGAAGCGTGGACCAGCAAGGGGCGGATAGGGGGGTAGAGGGTAGAGGGAGGGGAAAGAGAGTCTAAAAAAAGCTGGTCGCTGGGGATGCAGTGCAGATACTTATCCATGGCGCTCGTCATGGTGAGGGACACCTGCACCTGCTCCAGTGCAGTGCAGGTACTTGTTCATGACGCTCATCATGGTGGGGGACGCCTGCACCTGCTCCAGCGCCACACTCGTGTCACCGTTCACCCTGAATCATGTGGACGGGGTAGGGGGTTTGGGGATAGGGAGGGGGTTAGGGGATAGGGGGTTAGGGCATAGGGAGTTAGGGGAAGAGGAGTTTTTAAGCTTGGCGCTGGGGGATGCAGTGAAGGTACTTGTTCATGGCGCTGGTCATGTTACGGACGCCTGCACCTGCTCCAGAGCCACGCTTGTGTCTCCCTTCACCCTATATTGTGCACTAAAAGAGAGATATTAAGGGTAGGGGGAGAGGAAGAAATGTGGGAACAGAGGAAGGAAGCAATTTTTCAAGAGCATTACTCAACATAGACTCTTGCAGGGAAGAGTTGAAGCATGTCCAGATGAGACCATGGTTGTGTACAGTTGTCCTTATAAAGTTAAGGATTGTAATGTGCAGAAATTGAAGGTTCTAGGTATGTTAGCATATGAGATAAAAAATTTCCAGCCCTTATGGCTTAAACATTTACGAACATGCAATAACTACGGCTTACACTGATCCAATGATCAAGTCTTATAGACGTGAGAATAGGCTTGCTTGCAGATATGGCAAGTTGAATGCGCTTAATTATGCAACAAAAAGGCTTACAGATAGGCAATAATTAAACCAGCCGTGGTGCACCAAGTGAAGAAGACGACAATCCAGATGAGTGTGACTATCCTGTTACGAGGGACAGACAAATAAGGAGACGGAAATTATGAGCGTGATGACATTCATGAAATTGCAAACGAATACGCGGAATACTTGAATAATGCCAAATGAGGAAACACTCAGCATTGACAGCAAGGAGCTATGGTTCCTTCCACACAAGGTACACAAATAAGTACGCAAACATTTATTACAATAAACTCGCAATGATGACAAAAATGCACTCATATGGCCCCATCAATTCATAAGGACAAACGTAAAACACAGTGGAAGAGCATTTAGAACCCAGTTAGAAGAGCAAATTACGAATGAATGCAATAAAATAAAATAACTACTCACACATTGGATGCTACAACCCATTTGAGAAGTGAAAACACTGCGAGACGGAGCAAGCAAGACGAAGGGGTAGAGAAGCAAGCCACGGAAAGGGGAAAGGGGGGAGGGAAGTAGGGTAAGGTGGGAGAAATCCAGGGAGAATGGAACCCAGGGAGAATGGAACCAGGGGAGAATGGAACCCAGGGAGAATGGAACCAAGGGAGAATGGAACCCAGGGAGAATGGAACCCAGGGAGAATGGAACCAAGGGAGAATGGAACCAAGGGAGAATGGAACCAAGGGAGAATGGAAGCAAGGGAGAATGGAAGCTAGAGAGTATGGAAGCAGTGTTGACAAAAACGCTTTTGTGAGTTTGCGTTTTGCGTTTAAACGCAATCGTTTAAACGCAATACGCAAAAACGTGTCAAAACGCTCGAACGCACCTTGAATTTTTTCGGGCAGACCGGAACAAAAAAACGCACAAAAAAACCCGCAAAGTCGCGAGTCGAAAACACATTTCGCCGCGCGTCGCGAAACGACAACACGTTTCGCGCGTCGCAAATTCGTCGTCGTGCAGTCGCGAAACTTTTCATAGCGACACGAAAACTCGTCAATCCCTCCTTCCCTCTTCCCAATTTTGTTGAAAATCCCGAACCATTCCCCCCTTCTTGATCCAGATCTACCTGTAGAGGAGATCTTCGCTCACCTCACATGCACTGACCATCTAGTACTCTTACGTTCTTCCTTCCAGCACCTAAGCTACCCGACTTCCAGCCCCTAGCATGGCGTCCGCTGCCCGGGCTAAATTTTCCGCCTGCCCGGGCAGGCGTTTTCCGAGCGTATTTGAAGCCTGGAATCCTGCGTTTTGCGTCCTGAACGCTTGCGTTCAGAACGAAACGCAAAAACGCGGAAACGCGTTTATGCCAACATAGTATGGAACCAAGGGAGAATGGAAGCAAGGGAGAATGGAAGCAAGGGAGAATGGAAGCAAGGGAGAATGGAAGCAAGGGAGAATGGAAGCAAGGGAGAATGGAACCAAGGGAGAATGGAACCAAGGGAGAATGGAACAGAGGTGGCTTTTGAGTCGACTCAAAAGAACCAAGGAACAGAATGATTGGAATGCAAATGGGTCAGAAAAGGGGCAGCTTCTTAGAGGCCTCAACTCAAGCCCTTTGGGCATTAAAAACTTGGGGCACCTCAACACTCGGAGCGACGGTGCTTGTGATTGTGATGGCGTGAGGAAGAGGGGAGAACGTACAGAGGACGAGGGGGGGTTAAGAGCAGAGACGGAGGGGGGAGATACGGAGGGCAAGTAGGCAAAGAGCAGACTGTGTTACGTTTTTTAGAAATTTCAAATGCATAACACAAGCTAGGTGAGTATATTCTTGAGGCGCCTGATTTGGTTTTTTGCGTTTAAAAACCATAACTCAACGCATGTGAGGGCGCCTAGGTGAGGACGGACGTACGCAGGGCGAAGAGGCAAAGAGCGGTGATGAGGGGGGAACGTACAGAGGAGGACGGGGGGTTAAGAGCAGAGAGGGACAGGGAACATACGGACGGCAAGGAGGCAAAGAGGAGAGGAGAGGAAGGAACGTACGCAGGGCGAAGATGCAAAGAAAGGTGATGACACAGCCGATGACGTAGAAGGTGATTGTGCTGAGAGGGGGAGGGGGGAAGCAGAGGGACAGGAGGGGGGGAAAGGAGAGGGGAAGGAAGGTGCTTGAGTCAACTGAGCTCCCAGCTTAGAGCGGTGATGACACAGCCAAATGACACGAAAAGGTGATGATCCGTACCAACACCATGTGCGCAGAAGCTTCTAACTTGACATGAGCCATGTGATGTGAGCAACAACAGCTACTCACACCACAGCTTACTCGACATGCGCCATGTGGTGTGCGTAACAACAGCTACTCACATGCCAACACAGGAACTGACACGATGCGGAGTCTATGGTTGACGAGGGTGATGCCATCTGCTGTCTCGCCTTGCAGGTGAGGTGCTCAGAGCTCAGGTGCTCAGGTGCCACACGGCACCACCCACACAGCTCAGAGCTCAGGAGCTCTTGCTTGCAGGTGACCACAGGACACCACCTACTCACAGGACATGCGCCATGTGCGCAACACCTACTCACAGGACACGCAGTCCAGCTTGATGATGGCGATGCCATCCGACGTCTTGGCTCACACGGCAACATGCGTTGACCCGGAGTGCACAACACACATGACCATGGGTGCACGACACGACACTCACAGGACGCGCAGTCCGTCGTTGATGATGGTGATGCCATCCGCCGTCTTGGCTTGCAGCTCAGCCGCCGTCTGGTTCGTCTCCCGGGCCTTGGCTAGCAGTTCCGCCTTCCTGTCCGCTGTGAGGGAGGGACGGGTGAGTGAGAGGGATGGGAGGGGTGTGGTGGAGGAGGAGGGGGGGGGGGGGGGGGGGGGGGGGGGGGGGGGGGGGGGGGGGGGGGGGGGGGGGGGGGGGGGGGGGGGGGGGGGGGGGGGGGGGGGGGGGGGGGGGGGGGGGGGGGGGGGGGGGGGGGGGTGTGGTGGAGGAGGAGAGGGGGTAACAGGGGGCAGCTCAGCCGCCGTCTGGTGTGTCTCCAGGGCCTTGGCTAGAAGGTCCGCCTTCCTGTCAGGTGGAGGTGGTGATGTTGAGGGGTGGGAGGGAGAGAGGGGAGAAGAGGGAGGGGAGGGAGAGGAGGGAGAGGAGGGAGAGGAGGGAGAAGAGGGAAGAAGGGAGAGGAGGAGAAGAGGGAGAGAAGGGAGAGGAGGGAGAGGAGAGGGAGAGGAGGGAGAGGAGGGAGAGGAGGGAGGGGAGGGAGAAACCGGTTACCACCATTTTTTTTATACAAAGGATTTTACTCAAGCAAGTTAACTGATACTCTAAGCATCTAGTTAGTCGCTGCCACGTAAAGCCATGGCACCCAAGTGGTGTTCTCTCACATGCTACTTGCTTGCTGCTTGCGACTAGCATTTACATGGGATGGCAGTGCAGTGCAGTGCAGTGCAGTGCAATGCATCGCATTCCATACATACGTGGAATGACAGTGTTGGCGATGGTGATTGATGCGCTCGTCTCCACAATGTGTGAGAGGTTGTAGACGACGCTGGCCGTGAAGTCAACCGTCTCCGTTATGAAGCTGGTAACATGGTTCACACTGTTACGCAGCTGCACGCCCCCCGCCACCATCACCGAAAAACCCACCCTGGGAGGCAACAGAGAGGGGGTGGGGAAGGGGGGGGGGGGAGAGGGGGGAAGAGGGGGGAGTGGGGGGAGGTGGGGGAAGGGAGGGAAGGGAGGGAAGGAAGGGAAGGGAGGGAAGGAAGGGAGGGGAGGGAAGGAAGGAGATGGAACGTCGTGTGAGTGCTATAAGCACGCCCATACGCAGCTGCACGCCCCCTCGCCACCATCACTGAGGAACCCACCATGGGATGGGAGAGATGGGAGAGAAGGGAAGGGAGGGAAGGGGGGTTGTGAGATGGGTAGACGACGCTGGCTGTGAAGTCAACCGTTTCCGTTACAAAGTTGGTAATCTTGTTCGCACCCTTGCGCAGCTGCACTGCAACCCCCTGCCAGGGGGGTGTGGGGGGAAAGGTGGGGGGAAGGTGGGGGGAAGGTGGGGGGAAGGTTTGGGCGGCATGTGCTTTTGCAGTCAGCTGCACTCCCCTCCCCACCATCACAGAGAAAGCCGACCCTGAGGGGGGGAAGGGGGGGAAAGCAAACGCGATAGGCACTGACGAATTCTACAGCACTGTGAAGTCCCCAGGAGGACGACAATCCCCAGGAGGACGACAATCCCCAGGAGGACGACAATCCCCAGGAGGACCATCCTAGTGTACTTGGCGTATGCCGGGGCCCGGGTCCCTCAGCTCGCCCCACTTGTCCCAACATCCTTGCTACAAACATCCATCCCCGTTACAAGCATCCCCCAAACGAATACTTACAGCACTGCCACAATCCCCACGAGCATAATCACCCACGGAATCCAGAGGTCGTTCTTGGTGTACTTGGCGTATGCGGGGCCGCATCTCGTCCCACTTGTCGCGGCAGCAGAAGCTGGCAAGCAATCCCCGTTACAAGCGTTCCCCAGTGTAACTTACAGCACTGCGACTATCCCCACGAGCATGAAGACCAGCGGAATGTAGAGGTCCTTCTTGGTGTACTTGGCGTATGCGGGGTCCCGCATCTCGTCCCACTTGTCGCGGCAGCAAAGGCAGGTGAGGAGGGTGAAGCCGACAATCCCGAGGCCCAGGATGAGCCAGAGCATGCCGAGTAGAGGGGCGTAGACCACGGACCAGGCGACGGACTGGGCGGGGGAGGGGGAGAGAGAAGGGGGGGGAGAGGGGGGAGAGGAGGGGAGGGGGGAGGGGGAGGGAGGAGGGGGAAGGGGAGGGGGAAGAAGGACGTCAAGGCCCAGGATGAGCCAGAGCATGCCGAGCACAGGGGCGAAGACCACGGACCAGGCGACGGACTGGTTGGGGGGGGGAGAGTGAGGGAAGGGAAGGATGCCGAGGCCGAGAATGAACCAGAGCAGACTAGGTGCCTTTTGAGTCGACTCAGAAGTCACCCCACGAACCAGAGCAGGCTGGGAATTGGGGCGTTGACGACTGCGCAGACGACGGAGTGGGTGGGGGGGAGATGGGGGAACGGCATATCTCAGGGGGAAGGGGAGGAGAGGAGACAGTCGGCTGAAGAAACAGCGGCAGCAGAGGCAGGCGAGGAGGGAGAATCCGACAATCCCAAGGCCGAGAATGAGCCAGAGTGGGCCGAGAATGAGCCAGAGTGGGCCGAGAATGAGCCAGAGTGGGCCGAGAATGAGCCAGAGTGGGCCGAGAATGAGCCAGAGTGGGCCGAGAATGAGCCAGAGTGGGCCGAGAATGGGGGGGTAGGGTAGATGACCGAGCAGGCGACGGACTGGGCGGGAGAGAGAGAGGGGGAGTGACGAAGGATCGCGGAAACATTTTGAGAATCAGGTTACCTTCCTTCGCGAATGGGTTTCCTCCTTCGACAAGCGGTCCAACAACTTTTCGCGGAAACAGGTCGCTTTCGTTTGAGAACCCTCGGACTACCCCTGGCCAACCATGGGGTAGCTCTCTGGCGCGAACAATCACGAGATCCAACACAGTAGGGTAACATACAAAGGAAACATAGTAGGGTAACTCGAACCGCCCTGAAACAAAATCGCAAACCACTCACCGCCCAGTAATTCTTATTAGCCGGATTTCGTCCATCGGTGCACCCGCGAAGCCCCAAGGGGATTTTTGTATAACGCCTTGCTACCCACTGGGTCAAAACGAGGTTACCAGGGGGCGTAACGGAATTGCACGTTCACATCTCAGGTATTCGAACCCTAGGCTCTGATACCAGTATAACGCCTCGCTACCCACTGGGTCAAAACGAGGTTACCAGAGGGGTGCAGCGGAATTGCACGTTCACATCTCTGGTACGTTACATTTTGCGGCTCGTCCTGTTCGGCGCGACTGGGGGCCACGTGGGTTATTCGGGTTAACCTTCTTGCACAGTAGGGTAACACGTACCGTTAGGGAGCAAAATCGTCGAATACACTCACCGCCCAGCAGTCCTTTTCGTCAGGGTTTCATCCGCCGATGTACACGCGAAACCCGTTGACAGGGTTCTTGGGTTGCGTCCTCAAAGAGAAACGGGTTACCCTCTTTCGCAAAAACCACGAGATGAAATTCGCAAAGCACTCACCGCCCAGTAGTCCTTCTTAGCCGGGTTCCATCCACCGGTGTACTCGCGGAGCCCGTCGAGGGGGTTCTTGCGGCGCGTCCTGTTCGGCGGCACTTGGGGATACGTGTGTCGAAACACCATCTTCCGAGAAACGGGTTACCCTCTTTCGCGACACCACAAAATGAAAATCGCACAACACTCACCGCCCAGTAGTCCTTATTAGCAGGGTTCCATCCACCGGTGTACTCGCGAAGCCCGTCGAGGGGGTTCTTGCGGCGCGTCCTGTTCGGCGCGAGAGTCACGTTCTCCATAACCGCGGCTTGCAGCCCGCGACGGCGATTCTCGTGACTCAAACTGGCGTGAGCCAGTCCGTCGTGCTTAGAACGGGGGTGGTCCCAAAGCGCCCTGCCTGGCGCTTCCGCCAGGGCCCTCTGAATAAGCGCGTGATAGTAACGAGCGGACTCGTGAAGGTGATCGAAGTCCAAGGGACTGTAGTGCGATGGCGCCACGTCACCAGCCGCCGCAGCCGGCTCCAAATCGCCGGCTGTGCACAGACGCGGCGCGACAGCCGCAGCGCAGAAGACAAGGAGGAGATAAGTAGAGGCGGAGCCATGACGCGCCGCGAGAGAAGTAGGCGTGGAGGTAACACGCGAGCGCCGAAGGGACGATGCGGGGTCTGACCGGCTTAGCACGCGACGCGGGTTCCCTTTGTTCCCTTTGGTCGGGTTCACACGGTAAGGCCGCAACCCTACGCCGCAATCGCCATTTCTACGCGGCGGGTCGGCCATTGTTGATAAGGAGAGAGCTTCGTCGAATGGCCGCTCGGCTTTGAGGAGGCGCGTCAAATAGTATCGACTAGTTCTGAGCGCAAGGGAGATCCTAGAACTAAAATTTTGGGACGTATCCAGCGAATAGTCACGTCGACTAGCCCTGAGCGCGCGACTCGTGAGCTCAAGCACTCGGGGTGTTCGCGTTTGCGATGGAGATTATTAGTAATAAACTACTAGGAGTAGTGTCCGCTGAGTGCACCCAGGCTAGTATCGCCTATCGCGCGGATAGTCATCGTATACTTCTGTGGGAGAACTAGTGCATTGCTATGCTTCCGTTGCTCCACAAGATAGGACGGATGAAAGGGGCCGAACAGAGAGCACGCTAGAAAACACGGATCAAAGATCTCTTTCCTGGTGTGGCTGCTCGAGAAAACACGCAGCAGTCACGACTGAGTACCTGAGGGAGGGAGTGTGCGTGCAGCTCTGCTGCTCCTGCTGCTGCTGCTAACGTGAGGACGTGTTCAGCTGGTTCATTATCTTTCCGGGTATCACGGTTCGGTGGTTACTACACGATAAAAAACCAGACTAGATTGAGTTGTGAAGGAACGAGCGAGACACCCTCTGGCAAAACGTGCAGAAGTCAAGGAAAGGGCAGCTCTCTCAAGCCTAGCGAGTGACAGGTGGGGGAAGAGAGTGAGGAGGCTGACGGTGGTTGTGTGACTGCGAGCAATCCGACAGCGTGTGCCGCTTCTTGGGGGTTGTTGACGTGACGTGACGACGACAAGGGGACACGCCCTTAGAGCTGCAGTACGGGGAATGGCGTTTTCCTTTTGGGACAGTCGATTCTGTGACATGTTCGGCGGCCCCACCGCAAAAGCAGTCGGACGATGGTCCCCCCCCCGCCAAGAGCACTCTCATGAAAGTTCCCCAATGCGTGCCCGTATTGCATTGCAACCGTTTTGCCCTAATGCGATGGCGTCCTAGTGTCGCACAATAAACTTTTACTTCCTGATTTGCTGAAATCTCCCTAAAGACGCCCTACTCATTTGAGGTGCTTCCTGCCCGACCCTCAACTGTCGCGGAAATGTCAGGTTGTGAATTGTGGGGGGGAGGGGAACTGAGGTTTCCAGTTCCACGTAAGTCGTTCCCCCACTGCTGCAAAACCTATGCAGATTCTTCCATCACTAGCTTTTACCAATCGCACCCAATTCCAGCTTAAAATGGGGCTTCGGGTTCACGACACTCCACACCACCCTCATGTGCATGGATTAAAACCCATGAAAAATCCCTCTTTCCACATACAAAGGCATTGCGAAAAAGGATTTTACATTTGGGTGAACTAAGAACGTAAAAGGAAACCAGTTTTAAAAGGGGCAACAAGGTGGAGCAGTGAGGGGAAGGGACCTCAGGTTCGGTTCGGTTCGGTGACCTTATCAACAATACAGACACCGTTTTTCCTTTTGGGCCTGTACAGCACTGGATGGGGCCCATGTTCAGAGGTCCGCGTCACTATTCTGCGACGCGCCCGAACCAATGGTCTTTAAAAAGGGAGGGAATGACAAACGTTGTGAATCGCAACTTGAATTCCATTCATGGAAGCCGCATATTCTTGTGCCCCTGCCCGAGCGCGTCCCCAATCCATTCTGGAGGGAAAATACTTCTGTAGTGTTTACATTTTTAACCCTAATGCCTTGTCGTCTTGGTTGCTGCCAGTTCGACACCTGTTTGCATTTGTTTACGAGAAAAATGTACATAGCCCATAGGGACCCGCATGCTATTTCGGATGGCATCAGCGATTGTTTCAAATTGGTGTCATCCCAAATCAGTGTCATCCGAGAAACCTGGAAAACCAATCACATGCGTTTTGCTGAAACTTTACAGCATGCGATTCGTCTTCAACTTTCTCGGATGACACCATTTTGGGATGAATCCGACTAAAAACACGCCCTCAACCCTAAGCTCACAAATTTTGTGGGACTTAAAGCGAGCGTACAGACCAAACTCAAGATTCAAAGGCTTTGAATCTTGAGTTGGGGGTAGCGAAAATCGCGAGGGGCACAAGTGTCGCAAAAACGGGGCGGGCCCCACGCGAAAGGCTAGGGGTCTCGCGACGACTGTTAATGATCTCGCCAAAACAGGCGAGGTCGCAAGGGTACAGCGGGCGACGCTGCCCGTCGAACACGCGAAAGCACTGTTCAGACAAATCGAAACAGTAAAACTCATTTACGGAGAAAAGCACATACAGTGTTGCTAAAGCTCGTGAAAACGTAGAAACGTAGAAACCACCACAACGCATCTACGTTTACACAAATACATAACAATATTTAAACAATGAAGCACACGACTTGAAAATACCAGGGATCTAGTTCCCACTGAGTGCAAAGTCAGGGTTTTAAAACGTACACAAACGAGAAGGGCGCGAACGTCATTTTTATTAGGCAAGAAGCAAGACACACAATACAGCACGACCAAGGAAACCCCCACCAGATGTCACCTCTCCCCCCCACCAGAGCCCGCCTACCCCTCCCGAAAAACACGGGGAGAGGAGCACAGTGCTATGCTTCCCCCCCCACAGAGCTATGCTTCCCCCCTCTCAGCAATATGCTTCCCCCGTCACAGCACTGTGCTTCCCCCCTCACTGCACTGTGCTTCCCCCGTCACAGCACTGTGCTTCCCCCCTCACAGCACTGTGCTTCCCCCCTCACAGCACTGAGTGGGAGCAGGGGGTAAGACGGAATGGGAGCAGGGGTAAGACGGAATGGGAGCAGGAGGTAAGACGGAATGGGAGCAGGAGGTAAGAGGGAATGGGAGCAGGAGGTAAGACGGAATGGGAGCAGGAGGTAAGACGGAATGGGAGCAGGAGGTAAGACGGAATGGGAGCAGGAGGTAAGACGGAATGGGAGCAGGAGGTAAGACGGAATGGGAGCAGGAGGTAAGACGGAATGGGAGCAGGAGGTAAGACGGAATGGGAGCAGGGGTAAGATGGAATGGGAGCAGGAGGTACGACGGAATGGTTTTAGGAAGGGATAGGCGCGGGGATCATGAGGGGTGGCGTTGGAAGCGGTGGGTACGACAATAAGAGGGGGGAGAGAGGGGGGGGGGGGGGGGAGGGGGAGAGTTGGACGGTCGCAAATAAGAAACCAGAGTGAGAAGGGCATTTGGAGGAGTGAGTGGAGGGGGCCAGAGAGAGAGAGGCGGAGAGAAAATGAAAGAAAGAAAGAGAGAGAGAGAGAGAGAGAGAGAGAGAGAGAGAGAGAGAGAGAGAGAGAGAGAGAGAGAGAGAGAGACAGAGAGACAGAGAGAGACAGAGAGACAGAGAGAGATCGATAGAGAGAGATAGGGGAGGGGGGCGCGAGAGAGAAAACCCGCCTCCCTCCCATCCAGACCCCTACTTCTCCCCCCCTCCCAAGAACCTCCTTTTCCCCGCTGCCATGCCCCTCCTTCCCCCCCTCCCATAGCCCTCCTTCCCCCCCTCCCATAGCCCTCCTTCCCCCCCTCCCATAGCCCTGATTTCCCCCCTCCCATAGCCCTGCTTCCCCTCCTCCCATAGCCCTGATTTCCCCCCTCCCATAGCCCTGCTTCCCCACCTCCCATAGCCCTGCTTTCCCCCCTCCCATAGCCCTGCTTCCCCACCTCCCATAGCCCTGCTTCCCCCCCTCCCATAGCCCTACTTCCCCCCCTCCCATAGCCCTGATTTCCCCCCTCCCATAGCCCTGCTTCCCCACCTCCCATAGCCCTGCTTTCCCCCCTCCCATAGCCCTGCTTCCCCACCTCCCATAGCCCTGCTTCCCCCCTCCCATAGCCCTGCTTCCCCACCTCCCATAGCCCTGCTTCCCCCCCTCCCATAGCCCTACTTCCCCCCCTCCCATAGCCCTGATTTCCCCCCTCCCATAGCCCTGCTTCCCCACCTCCCATAGCCCTCCTTTCCCCCCTCCCATAGCCCTGCTTCCCCACCTCCCATAGCCCTGCTTCCCCCCCTCCCACAGCCCTACTTCCCCCCCTCCCATAGACCTGATTAACCCCCCTCCCATAGCCCTGCTTCCCCACCTCCCATAGCCCTGCTTTCCCCCCTCCCATAGCCCTGCTTCCCCACCTCCCATAGCCCTGCTTCCCCCCTCCCATAGCCCTGCTTCCCCACCTCCCATAGCCCTGCTTCCCCCCCTCCCATAGCCCTACTTCCCCCCCTCCCATAGCCCTGATTTCCCCCCTCCCATAGCCCTGCTTCCCCACCTCCCATAGCCCTGCTTTCCCCCCTCCCATAGCCCTGCTTCCCCACCTCCCATAGCCCTGCTTCCCCCCCCCCCATAGCCCTACTTCCCCCCCTCCCATAGACCTGCTTAACCCCCCTCCCATAGCCCTGCTTCCCCACCTCCCATAGCCCTGCTTTCCCCCCTCCCATAGCCCTGCTTCCCCACCTCCCATAGCCCTGCTTCCCCCTCCCATAGCCCTGCTTCCCCACCTCCCATAGCCCTGCTTCCCCCCCTCCCATAGCCCTACTTCCCCCCCTCCCATAGACCTGATTAACCCCCCTCCCATAGCCCTGCTTCCCCACCTCCCATAGCCCTGCTTTCCCCCCTCCCATAGCCCTGCTTCCCCACCTCCCATAGCCCTGCTTCCCCCCTCCCATAGCCCTGCTTCCCCACCTCCCATAGCCCTGCTTCCCCCCCTCCCATAGCCCTACTTCCCCCCCTCCCATAGCCCTGATTTCCCCCCTCCCATAGCCCTGCTTCCCCACCTCCCATAGCCCTGCTTTCCCCCCTCCCATAGCCCTGCTTCCCCACCTCCCATAGCCCTGCTTCCCCCCTCCCATAGCCCTGCTTCCCCACCTCCCATAGCCCTGCTTTCGCCCCTCCCATAGCCCTGCTTCCCCCCTTCCCATAGCCCTGCTTCCCCCCCTCCCATAGCCCTGCTTCCCCCCCTCCCATAGCCCTGCTTCCCCCCCTTCCATAGCCCTGCTTCCCCCCCTCCCATAGCCCTGCTTCCCCCCTTCCCATAGCCCTGCTTCCCCCCCTCCCATAGCCCTGCTTCCCCCCTCCCATAGCCCTGCAGGGCGTGGGGATAGGAAGGGAGGGAATTGGCGACGGGAAGACATGGGATGGCCGACGAGGATGGGAAAGGGATGGGAAAATGGGTGCTGGGGGGAAGCGGGAAAGCGGAAAGCGGGACTGCGGGAACGCGGACTAGCGGATTGGGCGGAAAGCGGAAAATCGGGGAAGCAGGATAATGGGAAAGTGGGAATCGAGAGAGCAGGAAGTGGGATACGGGAAGCGGGAAAGCAGTGGCAGCTTGAGTGCGGGAAATCAGGGAGGCGAATGCAGTCAGATGCAGTGGGCGGGGTGGAAAACAGGGAATGCGGAAGAGTGGGAAAGCGGGGCAGCGCTCTCGCAGCTGCTGCGAGGAGCGGGGAGTGGGA